TAGAGGGCTGGGTGGGCCCTCTACAGTTTCCCAAATCAGAGAGTCTTGCAAGGCTCATCACCCTCTTTTTTTATTTTTATCAGAAACTAAAAAATCTTCTGCTTTTGTAAATACAGTTGTTAGGAAGCTGGGTTTTGACAACAGGTGTGCTATAGTAGATCCTGTTGGTTTGAGTGGTGGATTAGTCTTATGCTGGAATAATGAAGTTCAAATCTCTCAAGTTATCTGCCAACAATTTTTCATTGCTGTGGAGTACAAAATGGCTGATGCTGCCCCTTCATGGGGAATCTTTGTATATCTTAGCACTTCAAACAACATCAGACAAGAGCAATGGAGAGATCTAGAAACAGCCAAATCTCTCTGGGGAGACAACTGGTATATACTAGGTGATTGGAATGACATCAACTCTAAGGAAGACAAAAGAGGGGGAATCCCTAGATCAGAATCCAGCATGGCAGGCTTCAGAAACTTTACTAATCTGATGGGAATGGAGGAAATAAGGATGATTGGGAACAAATTCACTTGGTGCAACAACAGATTCACTGAAGGTCTGGTGGAGGAAAAATTGGATAGAGGATTTGCTTCACCTGAATGGCTAGAGAATCACCCACATGCTTATATCTCTACTATGGCCAAAGCTTCCTCTGATCACTCAATGCTGATATTGCACATTGGGGACAATAAATCCAAAAGGAAAAGTAAATTTTCCTTTGACAAAAGGTGGCTCAGTAGAAAGGGTGTTGGTGATATTGTGAAAGCAGCTTGGAGCTTACCACAGTCAGGCACTCCTTTTTTCATCCTGAAAGAGAAAATTAAGACCACAAGACTGGCTTTGCTGAAGTGGAGTGCCTCTTTCAAAACTGAGAACCAATCTCTTATTGCAAATCTCTCAAAGAAGCTGGATCTTCTTCAAGATAACAGAAACACAACTAACTGGAAAGATTGGATTAGCACAAAAAGAGAGCTTGAAGCTGCCCACAGATCTGAGGAAATTTTCTGGCAACAAAAAGCCAAAGTTCAGTGGCTGAGGGAAGGTGACTGCAACTCGAAGTTTTTTCATGCATACACTATGCAGAGAAGGAGACAAAATGCAATCACTAGACTTGTTACAAGTCAGAACAGAGTCTGCATCACTCACAAGGAAATTCAAGATCATATAACAGATTTTTACTCTGAACTTTTTACCTCAGAAGGATCATGGGGAGGAGATTCCATCCTTCAACTTATTCCTCACTCTGTCACCTCTGATATGAATCTTCAGCTCTTAAAAGAAGTAGATGAGGAGGAGATCAGAGCTACTCTCTTCAGCCTTCACCCTGAGAAATCTCCAGGAGAAGATGGTATGACAGCTTTGTTTTA